TRTTWTTKTWRTAWTKWKTATTTTTAATTTTTGGACGTTTTTGGTATTAGTTATAGTTGATTAACAGAAAACTGTGAAATTGCACTTAAAACCTGCYTGTTTTATTCATTTCATGTTTATCATTTCGTTATTTAAGCCAATACTAATAACCTAATTTCAGAAACTTTGTCATCAAAAATAATCTATTAACTATGATATAACATATGCTATACCAAGAAATAACATGCCAATTAGGACCAGAAAATGCGAAACAAAAATATAAGTTTAGGTTGATCTCTTGCTATCATATATATTGAGCACAGCTGAGTCATTTAAAGTAGCGGAAGAAAAGATAGATATGTTTCGGATAATTTAAACAATGAAACATTTTATTTTTGTCTTAACGTCGCTATGGTAACAGGTTTTACTTAATATGTCCCTTATAATCAGACATGAATCCAATATTTTGTCGTTTGGCCGGCGTGTTTGTCCGATAATGTTTCTTGGAGCATCAGACATGTTGGTTGGTCTTCAAGGTCCGTAAGACACTGACGCTTCGACAGTCATACAGCACGCATCAATTAGACCCGCCAAGTTTTTGAATGCTCGCTATAAGTAGAGCACCTCTGTTGTTAGGTTAGATTTTGATTTATATTTTGGAAGACGAACTATTGTTTGTCCATTGCTTTGTCAACCAATGAGCCGGATTTGATTCGTTCAGGTCATTGCCGACTGTCCTTTCAAACTCCATTGACTGACGTCATAAAATTTTTCTAGTGTGAAGTACCTAATTGTTTGTCCATTCTTCTCTCAACCTATCATGAGATTTGCTGACTGCCCTTTCAAACTCCAATGAACATCATAAAATTCTCTAGTCTGAAGTACGTACATTGGTGAAAACATTTTCCTACTTATTTTGTTTTGATGTGGGGTCGCCCTGTTGCGGAGATGTTGATCAGGGGCGGAACCAAGGGGTTTGCCAGTGAAGGCTGGCCGAGAGCTTTAAGGTTCAATCTTACAATATCTCCATTAGAGCATAAAGGAATAACAAAGAGTAATATTTTGCCTATATTACGATGTATTTATATTTTCAAACATAAACAAAAGCTCGAAAAGTTTGCCAGTGGACTATGACCTTTTTATTACGGAATATAATAAAGTAATCCCTATTTTTCTGTAGTTGACAACCTCCTTTCAAACTACATGTACCAATCTGAAAGACAAGAAAGCTTTGATGATCAAAAGAGCAAAGAAGAGTGCAAAACACCAGCCTGCAAATCGCTAAAASAATTTGTCCAGTCTACAATGAGCACCAAATATAGACCTTGCGATGATATGTACATGTATTCTTGTGGTGGAATGATAGAAAGAGAAAAGAAAAGAACCCCTGAGCATTCCAACAGCACTTTTAGAATGTTAATTCAAGCTCAGACTAAGAAATTGATCAAGGTGGTGGAGGGTTTGAAAGATAGAAAAGGTAGGTCMTTTTCCTTTTTTTCTAATTCTCCTTCTTCTTCTCCTTATCCCAACTTCTTCACTTGTTCACTTGTTCACCTTTCATCTTCTTTCTTCTCATCTCCTGTTTCTTCTCTTGTCCTGTTTTTGTTTTTGTTGTTGCTGTTCTTCTTGTTCTTGTTCTTCATCTAGTCTAATCGTCTTCTTCTTCTTCTTTCTTTTCTTCTCTCTCTTCTTCTTCCTCTTCTTCATGTTCTTGCTCTTTATCGGAGGCGACCTTCCTTTATGATTAAGGAAACAAAAGCTTTCTAGTGCTTTTATTGAGTGAATATTCATATTACCCTRAAAAAATATTGCTTGCTGCAACGGAATTTTCGGTCATRCATTCGTCTTTTCGCCATTATCTTCAACATCGTTTTTGAGTGCTRATACATACACAATCTAGAGACTTGTAGCAGTGCTTTTCAGCRCTCAAGTGTCTATGATAGCGATGACAATAAGTCTGCAGGTGAAGAAAATTAAACTTAGACCAGATTAGTCGAGTACAAACTGAATTTTGAATTTCTACATATAGAAAACGATGCGTACAAGAAAGTGTACGACTGGTATGCAGCATGCAGCAACACTGAAGAAAAAAAGAAACTTGGWAGAAGTCCTCTTCTAAAGGTTCTCAAATCCTCGGGATCTTGGCCTCTTCTGAATGAATTTTGGGATGAATATGACTGGGACTTAGAGGAAACTCTAGCTTTTATGAATCGCGAATTAGCAGTTTTTCCTTTGATTGGGATAACGTTGGACAACGATGCAAGAAATGTGTCTGGCACTCCTTTWCGACTAGCGGTGAGCTTAAAGGRTCCATTATTGGCTGATGGATGGAATGTTTGATTGATGACTGATTGATCGGATGATTKATTCATCATTTGATTGACAGTTTGATGTAAAACCTCCGGATTGATTGATTAAGTAACAATGCGCTTAAGAACTAGGGAACTCTCTATTATTCTGCGGCATTGCAACTTCCCCACATACAAATGTCTTGGTTTTCACACTGTTTATGTATTAACCTGTGGATAACACATTTTTGAAATAAAATGTGGATAAACTCTATTTTGAAACAAAGTTTCTTTTGTATTAAAAGCTCTTATCCAATCATAAGCACTCAAAACAATAGCTAAAAGATGCTTCTAATTTGCTATGTTACCCCTTACATTGCCTTAATATTGAAGCTAAAGAAAGCTTTTATGAAAGCGAAAGCAGACATTAAATAAAATATTAGAAAATTCACTAACTTGTGAAATTATAGCAGATTTTCATGTTTTAACCAATGGGATGGATGGATTATACAATGCACAATTAGCACCTTCTTGCATTCCTTTGCCGTTTGCTTCCCTAGTTCTTACTCGGGGCATTACTTAATTGATTGACAGCTGACTGGTGAAGTGATTGATTGCTGAGTTGAATGATGAAATGATTGATGATTGTTTGATTACATGATTATTTATTGATTTTTTCTTCTTAGATGTGGCTATTTTTGCGTTTTTGTTCATTTGTTAATTRATAGCTGATTTGCGAATTTCGCAAAAGAATCAAGACGATCTCAGTCAATCACTGGAAAAAGTCGCGTGCTTTAAATGTTCTAAATTTGGTGTAAATATGATGTAAGTGTCCAAAATTCTGTAAATTTAATGGAAATCATTTACATCAAAACATTTACAGAATTTTGGACACTTACATTATATTTACATCAAATTTACAACCCTTAAAAGGGCGCGATTTTTTCCAGTGAATATTGTGAAAAGTCAATAGTCTGAGATTTATGCACAGCGCCTCGYCTTGATTCCTTTGTGTGTTTTGACTACTGTAAATCTTAAGTCGGCAATTCATCAATTGAGCATTTATATTAGTAATACTATTTTTGTGAGCAGATCACCAACCCAGACCTTGGTTTATCAGCAACAGAATTTTATCTTAAGAAAACAAAATACTCTGACAAGGTACATAACTAAAGACTCCCGTATATCCGAGATCCTTTGCGTGAGGTTTTCAATACGAAGAATCCCCATCTTTGAATTTTCAACCATCCCTAAAGCACCTTTTAACAGTTTTTTTTTTTCAAAGATAAGCAAACTAAATCGTTTTTATGATATTAAATTATCATATATTTAATTAATAACATAACAATAGAGTACAAACATTAAATGTGTGCAACACTTTCCACTATTTACTACAAAACAATAGAAAACAATAGAATTAGCATAATTTAGCAGTATTTAGTGGTATTTATGTTGCACAGTTTTAGTGTTTGTACTCTAATAATAATTTTATATTACTATTCAAATCCTATACTGCACTGCTACATCCTTTTAAAAACAGATAAATCATGATTTCCCAGAGGATGCACAGAACCCACCTCCCCCTCCCCCTTGTATCCGCCTCTCAAACAGACTCATGTTTTACCTTAAAAATACTCAAACATTATGTTTTTATTATTGCAGATATTATTTGCGTATTTTCAATTACTTTGCAAACTCAACGAGCTCATTGGAGCAACAGGCACTTGCTCTCTGCAAGAATTTAATTTTTATGATGAAAACTTAGATAACTATCAAGAAGGACTTGTTAAAGACGTGCTGGAAGTGGTCAAGTTTGAAATGGACCTCGCTAAGGTATGATTGTCATAGCTTACGGTATAATCATCAGACAATGGCCCTAGTTCATTATAACGTCACATCAAAACATTCTATTGTTTTAACGCTAAGGATTATGGTTGCCAGAAGGGATCAGAGTGACTGCATTTCAAATAAAATGTACATGAGCAATCATTTATACATGATATATATAAAAACACGATTCACTGAAGTTCTACTTTAGTCGACAATATAAATGGGTCCAGATTTCCGCTGTTTTTGAGCATCGTTTTCCGGTGTAAACATACTGTGACGTCATAATGAAATAGGACAATTGAAACTAAAGCCCTCCGTCCCCCGGGCAATACCAGAGAAATTAACAGTTCAACAAGGTGATGGGAACTAGCGGTAAACTAGTGTGAGCTGCGTCGATTCTATTATACTAAAAACTCACACTAACCCTAGTTCCATCTGTTTACTCCGACGAAGGATTAACGTCCGAAATATCAGTAAGTTATTTCACCTACTTTTTAACTGTGTTAAATTTATCTTTTTACAAAACATTTCAGCAATGCTAAAATCCCCGCCCTTAGAGACCAAAAAAGCGGATTAAGTCATCATTACCTTCGACTTTAGACGTTAATCTCCTGGGGTTTGAGTGACCGGGTGTTCAAAATTGACTGGTGCATAAAGAGGAAGTAATTTAAATTTATCTGTTAAAGGCGAGATCCTTGGCAAAAGGTACATGCTTAGTCTGTCGCCAAACAACACTAGGGGATCTTCAAAGACGTTATGGAATGTTTGCGGTGAGTTTATAGTTCACATCCCATATCAGACAGTTGACTCTCTTTGAACGACCACTCTCGTAAGCGACCATCTACATTAAGCGACCACCTTTTAAATTTCCCGTTCTAATTGTTTCCCATATAAACTTTGTAAAAAAAACTCTCTTGTATGCGACCATCTCTAGTAAGCGACCTGATCCCGAGGTGGTCGCTTACGAGGGAGTTGACTGTATTTTGTGCGAATATTGGCTCGACCACTACTGTCAGAACGAAGCTTGTGATTGGTCAGGTTTTTTTTCCTCTTTCCAAGCTGCTTGTTATAATCTCTAGGTTACTAATTGGCTATTTGTTCAAAAATAGTTTGACTGGAAGCGTTACATACGGCTGCTTTATCAAGGTATTCCCTCACAGCCTCCTTTTTATGATGATGAAATCATTTACACGCTGCATCCCAAAGTTTTGGACGAAATTATGCAGCTTATAGAGAGAACCCAACCAAGGTATATCAGTGTTCAATAAAGATGTCAATAATCAAGTTGGATTAGATTGTAAATGATTAATGATCGATTGATTGATTGAGTTGTTAATTGATTAAATGATTAGATGATTGATTGAGTGGAATACTGTTTGATAAATCGATTGGTTACTTGATTGACTGATTAATTGATTGATTGACTGACTGATTGGTATATACTGATTGAATAATTGATTGGTTGATTTATTTATTKATTKATTGATTGATTGATTGATCGATTGATAATTGGCTGATTACCTCATCGATAATTCGACTGATTGATTGAATGGATGTTAATAGACACTCGACCAATCGATTGATTTTATCTAGGTTTCAGGATTGATTGTTTAATTAATCGACCGATCGAATGATTGATTGCACTAAGAATTGCCCGATTGAATGATTGATCATTATAACTTGATCGATGGATTGATTGATTGTATTAATGATTCACGATCGATCAATTGATTRATCGACCTAACCAACAACTGATTGTATGATTAATCGACTGTTCGATCGATTTAGTTACTGACTGACTTGGTTGAATTTTAGGGTTTTAGCTAATTACATCATGTCAAACGTCCTATTCGAGTATGCTGGAACACTGTCGCCGGAATTCCGTGAACCCTACAAGCAATTTTACACGGCCGCCTACGGTATCAAGACTTTCAGCCCGTTAAATGTACGATGTATACATTCTGTAAGCAAGGATTTGATGTTTGCTGTAACAGCTTTATTTGTAAAAGACAACTTACCGGAGAATGATCTTGTCAAGGTAGTGTAGTTTTCTCAGTGCTTGTTGTGAATTTTCTCTGATTTCATCTGTAAGATAAAAAAGACCCACATAAGCCTTTTTCATAAAACGGTCATATGGCACAAAATCCGCCATACTGGATGGCAAAAAAATGTAAACAACCCCAAGAACAAAAGGAACGTATGCCGTCAAGCTTGACTTTTCTTTGTCTTGAATATCCCAGTGGGTCATTTTGACATCCAGTATGACGGATTTTGTACCATGTGACTGTTTCATGCAAAAGGTCTATTGAATACGCCAATACGCCACAGTGGGAATAAATGGTCAAAGACAGTGCATAAATTTGGACCTATTAATGACCCCCCCCCCCCCCCCCCCTCTTCTTGAGAGAGAAGAGTTCAGTACTAAGAGATTTATGAAATGTCTTTATAACACGAAGTTCATTTTCAAACAGGCTGAGCAATTAGTCAATCGTTTGACAGAGGCATATCTAGACCATTTGGATGCRGACGTACAATGGATGGATAGCAATACAAGAAATGCAGCCAAGAAAAAGGTATTCAACACAGATGATTGAGGATCCTATAGCAGATTAAATAGTTGAAATATTAGTTAACTTAGAAACCTATTTTTCAATATAATGAACGCTTTTAACAGGTGAAAATGATGATGGCGCATGTTGGATACCCCCG